GTTAATAATCCTAGTAATTCAAGTCCGATGCAAAAACAAATGATCGCACGGGCCAGCCCGGTGCGATCCAGCCTGGGTTACAATTTGCATATATGCAGAAACGCATAAAAATCAAATGCTGTAATCAGAACTTGCTACTGATCGATTAGGAAGCTTGATACAGCCATAAGGAGCAGAGGAAGAAGCACAAGGTACCTGAATAGCAATGAACACTTGAATAATAAGCGTCGCTAGCATTTCTTGTAATTCTCAAGAGCACGCATATTAATTTTTCTTTGCTTTTTGATAAATTTTTGCTTCGAAAGGGTCAACTAATTAATAAGATGACGAATGTCGAAATTTTCTAAAATACACCTGGGGAAAAACTTCCCAAAACTGCTTCTCTCTTTGCTGAAAGAAACTAGCTAATCCGACGCTCGCTTTTAATTGTTATCTTTTCAGCACAATTCACCACTTCAGACTGATTCTCATTCTTCACTTTTACGAAGTGAAAGACACCTGTGTCGTGGATGTTTCGAACGGTTCGCTTCTTCTTCAATTCACATCCCTTTTCGAAAAGGGGCTCCTTACGCGACAGCCCGGGTGAAAAGCAGATGTACTTTCTTGAAAACGCTAATGATTTATAGGTGCTATGCAAATTTCAAGAGAAGTTCAGTTCACAGTTGAACGTTCTAGTTCGGAACTGAACTCCTGAAATCCAAATCAAGACAGAACTACCACGTTGCGCAGCAACAAAAATACCAAAGAAAAGTAAAAAACAGTAGTGGTACAAAAGGTAGTTGTTTGGCGTCTTTAAGATTCCTTAAATTTTGTCGATGAATTGATGGTTGTATGAAAATGACCAAATTAGCTGCTGAACTGCTGCGAATTGAGCGGCAGAACAGCATGCCTTAACTACCATTTTGAATGGCCGCAGTGTGCTCTTAGACTTTCACAAGAATTTATAAAATTCCATACGCTTTTTACTCAAGCACATTTTGAATTATTGACTTACTGTAGCAAATATTCATTGATAGGAAAAAAAAATTATGTGTGTAAAAAAATCTTAACACATGAAGAAGCTGGTCAATAAGCTCCGACTTTGAAAAAAAGCTTTCAAACATAACCAGTTATGCTCAGCCCTGAAAATTGTGACAGACTAAGGTGAAAAAATCCTAAACCCAAACACTCAACGCACATCAGTGTTTCCAATGCGAGCTTTAGCCTTTGCACTGAGCTTGAAGCAATCAACATGAATAGCTGCACTGGTATTGGCTGTATTCTGGTTTTTTTCTAGCATGCGGGGAAAAGCGCGTCGGCTGGGGCGGAATTGTTGCATTATGGAATCGCTTGAAATCTTAACCTCCGGATGCGTGATTATCGCAAATTTTGCATGAAGGGGAGCGAATAATTTCCAGTGATCGATTGTTCAATGAAAAGGCAAGGCGGACAATAAAGAGGATGCCAAAAATAAGATGATGACGAAAGTCGAGTCGGAAATTTTGTCACCAGAATTTTACAGTGTCCGTATGTGAGACGCAGGAGTACTTAGAAGCTAAGTCTGAAATCTTTGAATCATATATGCACAGAGAGATTCTCCTAATATTCGGGCGTCATACCCTTTCGAGTCCCGCAAATTGATATTTTCTTCGCCAAAACCTTCGCGTTCCCGCGAGTGAGAAGCAGGCGTAATTAGGGACTGAATTTGAAACCTTTAGTTTGAACGTGGACAGGGGGCATTCTTTCAGAAATTTCAATTACCTGACTTACCTGGTTCCTCAATTAGCAATATAACTCACTGAAAACAGTGCACTCAAATTACGGTATGCACCGAATTAAAAAAGCTGCTTCGTGAAACACGAAAAATGTGAGAAACACGAAAAGTTGAAGCACTGAGCAAAATGTGGATGCTTTTTTGCACAAATATGTAAACAAGTGGAAAGAGAAATTCTCGGCGTCGTTAGAAATTTGGAAAAAGTGCTCGATGCGTTCAAAAGAAGACGAAGGAGGCAAATCGGAAAGCTCGAACGCCCATTATTCTTGGCTACTGAAACAAATCGAGGAGGCGATAATCCCTCAGGGAGTTGGCGCTTCTACTCGCCCATCTATGGCACCGCACCAAATACAGAAGAT